TTCTAAATATGTCTATGTGAGTACTAGTTTCTTGCTTTGGCTTGCATGTGTTTATCATCTAGCTGCTATAGACATGAAACTCCAAAGCTCAATCATTGAACATACATGAAACTTCACTGCCAGATAATATGTCTTTGCTTCTTTGGCAAGAGCTGCAGTGGATAAAAGCATATATAGGTGACACCACTATTTGTTTAGTGTATGTATATTATTGATAGTGAACAAAGGAGGCCTGTAAGGCCTGCTAGAGGCTTTGTGTATAGGCTGGATTGGGCCTGCAGTGGCCTTAGCCTGTGGTTTTATCTCTATCTCACTCCCTCTATTCCTTTTTCTTGTCCCTCTCCCTCTCTCTCTCTCTCTCTCTCTCTCTCTCTCTAAGCATGATCTTTTTTATATGAGATTGTTTTTTGTCAATGTACATGTTTGTTTGTGTATGTCATTTTCTCTCTCTTCAACTCATCAAAGGTATAAACAATTGTAGTATTACACTTGCTTATTTGGTACCAGCTGCAATGAATGAACAGGACACATATATGAGTAAGTATGGATACACTGAAGTTACTGGTTGCTATAAATTTTGTCCTTGTGCACTTTGCCTGTAATGGCTGGATTGGGCCTGGAGTGGCAGCCTGTAATGGCCTTTGGGTTTGCTATCTCTTTTTTCTTTTCACCCCATCACACTGCCATTGAGTTAGCTGCTAGGCCACTCACCACGCTCCACATAGTGCTCAATCATCCTCTCAACTGTAGCCACTTCCTGGTTGGACAGGTTCAGGTTGCCCTGGACGTGCATGACAAAGTCTGATGCAAGCATCCAACCTGGCAGGGTGCCACCAGCAAAGCTGTATATGTTGAGCCTACTCAACAGAACACACTTTTGTTGTCTACAGTGAACATACCACTACACTTGCTGAGCTATCCAAAACCCAGCCTCCAGGGAGCTCCTTCACATACCATAAAGTTTTTTCACCATTGTGCCCATACCAAGCCTTGAAAGTGGCCACAGGAGCCAGCATGGCTTGACCATTCTCCATGTGGTGGTACCTCACATGACTACATGAACTTGCTTTGGGCCAAATGCATTTACAGTAAAGAAGCATGTATATGCTCAACATACACAGCAACTTGAGCATACACAGCAAGCACTACAAGCAAGCACACAACAGGTTAGGATGTGTAGGCTAGCATTGAGACTTTGTTTCCAAAATGTGAGCCTGTAGAGGCTGGCTTTGAAATTGCTTACACAAGGTAAGCCTGCAGAGGCTGGCTGGTGAGCCTGTAAAGGCTGGTTGGTAAGCCTGCAAAGGCTGGTTTGGAACACAACCGTGCACACTTTTCCCCATCAGCACCTTGAAGCAGGTGTTCAACAGCCATGTCAGCTGCCCCAACACAGGATGAACTCTTTGAGAACATCCCACCCCCAGTGGGCTGTCAAAGCTTACTTCCAGCCATGAGCCCTTGCGTGAGCAACCCATTCTTGCCTTGACAACCTCATGCCTTTGAAGGCTGGATCAAGGCACTTCACACAACCATTGCGGTTGCCTCTGCAACGCTTACACCCTTTCTTGACTTCAGGTGTGGTCACAGTAGTGGCAACCTTCTTAGGCTTGCTCTTAGACTTGCAGCAAGCAGGTCTCTTCATTTTGGCTGCTTGAGCCTTGGCCTTTGGAGTGCCACCTTTCTTGGCTGATTTCTGTTCTTCCCTGTTAAGTAACCTTTTCATGTTGGCTTCTTCAAAGTCCTCAAGAGTTGTCATCTTGTGGTTCAACATCATCAGTACCACTCTTGGCTTGGCAGGTGTCCTTCATGCCATTGCCATTTTCATTCATGGCAATGTCATTTGCCAAAGGCAACTTGCCACCCACAAGAGACTGAGAGCTGTTTGTCCTTGAGGGCTGATCAGCTTGCTTGCCAGGCTGGAGGATCTCAATGTGTGGCTCCCTGCTCTTGTTCTGGGATCCCAGGATTCCACATGCTGCGTCTGTAAAGCGGCTGAGCATGAGCAAAAGAGATTTGTCCACCAAACTGTTGGACCCAGCACTTGGTTGCTCACTCTGTGCTGCAGGGGCTTGCTTGGACACACTCTCCTTGGAGCAATGCTGGTAGGCAGGATACAACACAATCACACAAACAAAACAAACAAAAGAACACAACAAAAAAAAACATAGTATGACCAAGCAAGGCTCCTTGGCAAGGCAAGAAGCTGTGCTCCTGACCTTGATGTGCTTCTGGATGATCAATGCCAACTGTGGGAAGTCTTTGTTGGCAGGCCCTCCTTCAGGGTAAGAAGAAGCACTCAAGTGGGCAGCATCCAAGTGAACAGGATCATCTGGGTACTTTGCCAAGCTCAATGCTTTCACTGGGACTTCCACTGCTATGGTGTGCAAGACCTGAACCAAGTGGTGGCCCAAAGCATACACAGAGTCAGGGCATGGAAGCTTTTTAGTTCTTTTCTGCTCATGCCACACCAAGACTCCCAGGCAAGTCTTTTTCAAGCTTTCCTTCATACCAGTGATCCCCAGTAACCTTAATCTCCTGGCTATCACTTGGCATCCTTCCCACATAGAACATGTAGCCAATTGGTCAAGGTCGCTTTGAGTCAAGTACTTTTCAAAGGCTTTGCACTCCTGGCCAGCAGAGGCAAGCTTTGCAGTGCCCATCTTGTCGACCCTGGACACAGCCAATGAATCTAAACAGGCCAAGATCTCACCATTCATCTTTTCTGGAAGTGTGGCCTCCTTGAGGCTGTCATAGCAAAGGACCAAATCAGCATTGCTGAGAAAGGTCATCTGCTCAATCTTGGTCTTGATAGACTTGCAGAGCTTTTCCTCAAGCTCATGAACTCCAGGTCTGGAGTGCAAAAGCTTTGACATGGCCTGTAGCTCCAGCTTGACATCTGCAGGTGTCCAAGACATGTTGTCTTCACACCACAACCCACTACATGTAGCTGCAAATGGCCACTGAAACAATACTTGTTCACACTATCATGCGTAAGCCTCTAAAGGCTGAGCCTACATTGGCTGAGGACACTCAAACCGAACATAGACTAACCAAGCTTACACAAACATTGCCTATAGTGGCATCATATATTTGCTTGAAGTATAGTATATGTGTTCA